CAATAATGGAAGAAAAGGGCACCTGATATATGTGGGACAAGGCTGAGTACCCCCTCACACAATGGTCATGACAGCACCAGGATGAGAGGAGAAAGATAGAGGTAGAAAAAATAGGGGAAGAAATAGCTTAAAACTTCTGAGATTTGATCAAAAGCATTAATCTATGCTCCAAAAAGCTCTATAAACATTAAGTAAACCCATACCCAGATACATCACAGTCAAAAAGACAAAGACAGAAACTCTTGAAATCATGGATAAGGGAACTTGAATAATATTAAGGGTTGGCTTCTAATTGGAAAAAAGATGGGAGACAGAAAGCAGTGGGGCAGTGTATTCAAAGTGTTGAATGAAAACTGCCAGCCAAGGATCTTCTGTTCAGCAGAACTACTCTCAAAAATAAAGGTGAAATAAAGGCTTCCCAAGATACATAGAGGCAGGAAAATTTATCACTATCCAACCTGCCTTACAAGAGATACTACAGGAAAACTGTCAGGTTGAAAGCAGGGGATGCAAGCAGAAGTGTAAATTCATAGGAAAAGACAGAAGGTACTGGCCAAGATGATCACACATGGTAATTACAAAAGACAACATCTTTATTTTCTTATCTAAGTTAAAAAGCAATTGCATAAAATGATATGTATATAATTGTATTGTTGGACCTATGATGTATAGAAATATGACATATTTTCTATTAAAATTTTTTAATGTTTATTTTTGAGAGTGACAGAGTGTGAGTGGGGGAGGGGCAGATAGGGAGGGGGAGATACAGAATTGGAAGCAGGCTCCAGGCTCTGAGCTGTCAGCACAGAGCCTGATGTGCAGCTTGAATTCATGAATTAGGAGATCATTACCTGAGCCGAAGCTGGACACTTAACCGGCTGAGCCACCCAGGTTCTCCAGAAATGTGACATATTTAACAAACAGCACAAAGGAGACAGCTGAGTGAAGAAATGACACCCAATGGTACCTTGAATGTGTGGGAAGAAATGAAGAAGTAGTATACAAGAAGGGTAAAATGGTAAACTCCAGATATATATTTGCTCTCCCTTCCCCTCAACTTCCTTAAAAGATGTATAATTCTGTAAAGTAGTAACTATAAAAATGCATCTCTGAGTTTGTAACATTATGGATATACAAACGTATGATGTATATTAATAGCACAGAAAGGGGAGGAGGCCAGAGAGCTATATAGGAATAAGGTTTCTATACATCACTGAGATTTAGTATAAATCTCTTTTTTTTTGAGATTTAGTATAAATCTTAAGTAAATGTTGATACTAGAACAATCACTAACAAAAATAACTGAAAAAATAGAGTAAAACAAGAGAATTAAAATGGTGCACTGGAAAATTTTCACTTATAAAAGAAGAAAGTAAATGGGAAAAAAAGAGGAATAAAGACATGAGACATATAAAAGGCAAATATCAAAATGGCAAATGTAAATTCTACCTTAGTGGTAATTACATTACACATGAATGGATTAGACTGTCTATTCAAAAGGCAGAGATTGGCAGAAAGAAAAACCTCTCCAGCTCTATGCTATCTGTAAGAGACACATTCTAGATTCAAAGATACAAATGGGTTGAAAGTACAAGAGCAGAAATAACATACAATGTCAGCAATAGCCAAAAGAGAACTGGAGTGGCTGACTAATATCAGACAAAATAATAGTGAAGACAAAATTGTTACCAGAGACAAAGAGGGCCATGCTATCCTGATGAAAGGGCCAATTCATCTACAAGACACAGCTATCATAAACACACATCTACCTGAGAACAGAGCCACCGAAATACACGAAATTAAACTGGCTGAATTGGAGCAAGAAATCGAGAGTTCAACAATAATAGTTAGAGACTTGAGTACATTAATGGATGGCAGAAGATCAGCCAGGTGGCTCCCACAATACTGTAAATCAGCTGGCCCTAACAGACATGTCCAGAGCACTCCATACAATCGCAGAATGACACATTATTTTTTCCAAGTGAATATGGAACATTGTTCTGGCATAGACCCCAAAACAAGACTCAATAAATTTAAAAGGACTGAAAATATACAAAGCATATTCCCGCATCATAATGAAATAAAATTAAAACAAAATCAATAACAGAAGGTCATTTGGGAAATTCACAAATATGAGGAAATTAAAAACACACTCTTAAATAACCAAGGTTCCAAGTGAGCGAGTTGTGTGGTGTGTGAATTATATCAATCAGGCTGTTTAATAAATGTGGTTCACAGCAAACTCTCCCATCTGAGCTGGCATTTCCAAGATGACGGAAGTCCCCAGGTCCCTCTATTGGGATGCTGTGAATATCTGGTGCTTACACATCTCCCAAACCCATAAGGTTCAAAGACAGGACCTAGGAGGATTAGAAAGCTAAGAACTCTGGAAAAAAGAGGGGCCTCACTGTGTCTTCCTGAGGGCCCAGGAGCAGACAGGACCCAGGGATGTGAGTTCTTGCCTGCACTCCGTGGGACCTTAGCCAGAGGCACCTGTGAGAGCTTCCTGGGGGCCTGGACCCCAGACCCTAAGAGAAATTCTGCATGTACATAGAGCATCCACACCTCTTATCAGCTTCCTGATAAAGCCTGTGACCCCAAAAGCATTAGGAACCATGAGAAGCATCTGTGGGAATTATAATAGGAGCTGCCTCCTCTGGGCACAGGGCTTGCCAAGAGAGAGGAAGGCAGGCCCCTCGCACACTCAGCCACAGTCATGGAGCTGGGAAGGCTCAGTTCTGTGCGGCAGGTCTGCCGGGAGGACAGCAATGGGACCCTGGCCCTCAGGTCTGCCTCTCAAGTGCACTCCACCAGTGTGTGTCCAAGGAAGATGGAAAAACTTCTGTAAGCTTCGGCTTTGTCCTCTATTATGTGAGGATCACGACTTAGGGCTTAGTGTGAATTCCATGTGCCTGTCTCCTACGCAGGCCCTCCTCCCCTCCTTCCCCTCTCCCCATCACCTCCTTCCCTTCCTCTCTCCCCCGCCTCTGGACGTGTGTGTTTGTATGCAGGTATACGTGTGTGCGTGCACACGTGGATGTGTGTACATGACTACTGTCCGTAAAAACCAGCGGAACTGGCATCTCAAAACACCCCATGTGCGTGAGAGGAGAGACAGACTGAATGCTGCCTGTCAACCCATTTTGAGAATGCTTCCACAAACAGAGTCCGGAATTTGTGCTTCCAACCGTGGCCACTGTCGGGATTGCCGCTGAACCCCCTACCCCCGGGCACCGAGTGGGACAAGCCGGTGGAGGCCAGGGCTTGGCTGGGCTCTGGATGACCTCAGACTTAGTCCTGCTGGCTGGCCAGCGAGGAGACTCACCCTAACCCATGGGGCTGGCCTGAGCATTAAAAGAGCACACCTGGGGGCTCAGCAGGTTCAGTGTCTGACTTCGGCTCAGGTCATGGTCTCACCGCTGTGGGTCCGAGCCCTGTGTCCCACTCTGTGCTGACAGCTCAGAGCCTGGAGCCTGCTTCACGTTCTGTCTTTTTGTCCCTCCTCTGCTCACACTCTGTTTCTCTCTCCCTTTCTCTCTCAAATATAAATAAAACCTTAAAGACATTAAAAATAAATAAAAAATGAAAGAGTGTGCCCGGCCCAGAGTAGCTGCTCAGGGAGTGCCTGCCCCCCTGTCGGACTGCTACTCACTCTACCTGCAGGGCTAACGCGCGCTGGCCAAGAACTAAGGACAGATGCCTGGCAGGGGCCATGAAAACGCGTCTCCTAATTGTTGGCACGTGTGGTGCCTGCCGGAAGGCTGTCGTACCCCTGCCCAACGTGCTGCTTTTGGCGCAAGCAGCAAGAAAAAGCCTCACCAAGGCTGCTATTTCCTTCTCACAAAAAAGCAGGTCAGTTTTGCAGCATTTCACTTGTGAGCCCCCTGATTTCAGACCCACCGGCTGCGTGCTGTTCTCACCCGGCCCAAGGCGACCGCACAGACAGGGTGTCAGGCATCCTCTGTAAACAGGAAACTCGAGGCAGAGCCGGTCGGCGTCATGCTGACAGCCACCTGCGGTCCGTCTCACTTGGAGCTCACATACAAAGCACAGTTCAAAAGAAGCCATTTTATTGAGCCTCGGGGCTTAATAAGGCCTGAATTTAGGTCCAAATGAAGGTGGGACTTATTTTAGATTAAATATTGATTTAGAGTATGAATGTCAAGAGGTGGGGCAGCCCTACGTGTCTAGCACATGGCTTGGTGATTTTCCTGCCTCTCGACACTGGGCGTGTCTGGAAGAGAGACGTTCAGGACGGACAGGGAGACACACCGCGGACTGCCACTCAGCTGCTTTTGCTCCTTAGTGTCACACTGAGACAGCATGGCACGCTTGTGTGGAGAGGCACCTCTGGGGGCAGGGAGGCTGAGCCTCCCACGGTGGCCTCCCCTCCTGCCCACTCCCAGGCAGAGGCCTTGCACCCGTGTGCTCAGCTGCACGAGGAGTGCTCAGACACACAGGAGGCCTCACACATGCAGGCCCACGGGTCCTGGATGGGGGTCACCCACTCGAGGGCAAGATCTCCCTGGTCCATCTACTTGGTGAGGACAGAGACCGGTCTCAAGTCCCCAGACCCCATAACTGTCCCATAACGGCAGTGGCTCAATCCTGCATCAGCACAAAACAGCGGGGCGGGTGGGGGGAGGGGGCAGCCGGGCACGGGGTCCCAGGTTCTGTGGGTTTGCAGGCTCAGGCCGTCCGCCACTCCAGCTGGGGTCTAGAGGCCAGCTTCTACGGTCCCTACCAGAAAACACAGCTCATTTATGGGAGCCACACGCAAAGTGAGCTGGCTTCAGGATTGGAAGCCACTTGGGCAAAGTCCTGATCTGGGAACGCCCTTGGGCCTAAAGGAACCCCAGCAAGTACCTTCGTCATCAGTGAAAGGGACTCAGCTGCCCCCGGCCCTGCTGCCCTGCGACTCGGTGGGGACCAGGGAGGCGGCACCTTGAGAAGGCAGAGGGCTCAGCCCAGAGGTGGGGACAGCGGCCGCAGGCACTGACCTCTGATTCCGAAGCATCCACCGACTTCTCTTTGAGGTTTGTGCTCTCGGTCAGCACGGCGCTGTTGTATTTGTTGCAGATGTCCTCGTCTGAGTAGTGCAGCCCACCAGGGCTGGGCCGGGGTGGGGACCTAGGACGGGACACCGCCCATGGGACAGGTGAGGGCTCAGCATGACTCTGGGCCGCAGATACCTTCCCGGGGGCCTCCCGACCTGCCCTCTGGCTGCTGCCCTGTTGGGACGGGCTGGGGTCTGTTCTGGTGGCACCCGTCTGCCACATGTGGTGCCTGAGAGGCGGGGACTCCCAAGTGGCTGGGACTCCCACTCAGCCAGCCTGTGGGCGCTCGGCCCCCCAGAAGGCGCCCCTCCACTCCCTAGACGGGCCTTCTTTCTGTATATCTGGAACAGGACACAGGATGCTCCCAGCTGCCCCCAGACTCACTGCTGCCCTGTTGGGTTCTGGTGGGTACCTGTGTGGCCAGCACCCCCCACCCTGGCTGGTTTGGACCGCTGCGCCCCTACCTGGTCCCGTTCTTCTTCGAGAAGGTGTTCTTGACGTTGAGGTGGCGGCTATTGAGCTCCAAGGCGGCAAACCCTCCGTTGTCCAGGGTCACGGTCTCCTCCATGTTGGAGATACTCTTCCCTAAGCCGGGAAGAATGGGTTTGGGGGCTGTGGAGAAGGGCTCACGGCAGCTCTGCTGAGCTGCGCAGCCAGCCGGCCACAGGTGTGCGCCGGTCCCCACCGGAGGCACCGGGTCCCCGCTGGAGCAGAGCCCAGAGCTGGGCCTGACCCGCCTCTGTGTGCAGGGTGGTTGGAGGCTCTCCGGGAGGGAGGCAGCATATTGGTTAGAGTGCGAGGAGCTGACGCCAAATAGTCAGCGTTCCCATCAGTATTTGACGGAGGAGCCCTCAGAATGCATGAGCTTTTTTTTTTTTTTTAAAGTTGAGAAATTAACGATTTTATACAGTTCAAAATAAAAACCTCATGACCACGTAATAAAACAGTAAGTAGAAAGTAGATTCACAGGGGATGACAGTGCAGGGGGCATGGTGTCTTTCTGGGGTGGTGACAACGTTCTAGAATTGGCTCTGCTGATGACCGCACGTATCTGTCAGTATGCTAGAAGTCGCTTAAAAAATGAGTTTATAAATACGTATGAAAACATATACTAAACTCTATCGGCAGATCCAAATGATTAACCGTGAGGTTGGGCGAAGCCACAGGAGACGCCGAGTGTCCCGTCTTCCCGTCCTCAGGACTGTCTGCCCCTCCCCCAGAGTCCTCCTGGCACACTGTCCCCTTCCTTCAGCTCACAGCCGAAGTGTCATCAGACCAGAGAGAACCTTCCAGACCACCGGAGACAGCAACCACTCCTCCTCCTCCACCTCCTCCTCCTCCTTCACCTCTTCCTCCATCTCCTCCTCCTTCACCTCTTCCTCCTTCTCCTCTACTTCCTCTATCTCCTCCTCCTCTCCATATCCTCCACTTCCTCCATCTCTCCCTCCTCCTTTTCCTCTACTTCCTCTTCTTCCTCCTCCACCTCCTCCTCCACCTCTATTTCCTCCTCTTCCACCTCCTCTAGCTCCTTTCCTCCTTCTGTTCCTCCTCCATCTCCTCCTCCTCCCCTTCCTCCTCCTCCTCCTCTTCCAGAGATCTGTAGCTTCCCCCATGGTGCTCACCACCAGCAGTGCTATTTTTCAGTTTGCACGTTCCTTACTGTCCGCCGCCTGTGTCCCCTGGCTAGGCCACAGCCCTCAGAGGCAGTCACCCCACCTGTTTCTCTCCTGCTGTCCTAGCCTCTTGTCCTAGCCTCCGGGACAGGGGCCTGTTCCGGGATTGTTAAAACCTCATGGCACCCTGTCTGCTTCGAACCAGCACCCTGCCCACCCCCCTCCCCCGAGGGGCTGGAACGCTCCAGTGGCTGCAACAGGAGAAGCCAGCAGAACAGAGACCTGCACACAGTGGGCAGGGCTGCTGGTGGGTCGGGGTCTGGGGGTGACTGACCAGTGGGCGAGCAGCGCTGTCGGAAAGGAAATCCAGAGAGGGCGGTGTGTGAGGGAGGCTGTCGGGGCTGGGATGGTAGAGGTTTAGGGTCTGCGCATCTCCTGGCACAAAGGCACACATTTGAGGAGACACGTTTTTTTTTTTTTTTTTTCCCTAGGCTTCAATTATGCTGTTAAATTAATACTCCAGGGTGAGGCCGAGTATCAGAAGCTGCAGGTCAGATCTGCCTTTTGGGGGCTGTTTTCCAGATGCAGAAGGAGAGTGAAAAGCGGGGAGATTTTCTATGTGCCAGACACAGGGTCCTGTAATACATTAACTCAACAAAATGACATGCCATTCATACACAGTAAATCCCACAGGAATAAAATCTGATTTATGAACACTTGTTAGAAGTGAATTTATACAGAAAAAAATAAATCCTTTCTTGGAGGGATGAATTGTTTAACGTTAGGAAAGCAAATCGTGAGGCGCCTGGCTCAGTTAACCCGTTAGGTACAGTGGCAGATGGAACTGGGAGGCTGAGGCTGGGGGGCTGCTCAGCCCGGCCCCTCATCCCTGAGGGCTCACGGGCAGCTGGTGTGTAGGGAACCCCCCACCCCAGGGGACCGCCTTCCTAGGGAGGAAAAGCGGAGGAGCTGGGGGGAAGGGCTCTCGCTACGGGGTGACACCAGAGGGCTGGTCACATTCTTGGTCCGGCTACAGACCTTTGTACAGAGCGCAGTAACGTTCCAGTTGTGCAAAGAAGGGGTCTCATAGGTTATTAGGAGAATTTTTAAAAAATTGAGGAGAATAAGTGCATAAAGTGTACTAATCTAAGGCATCCATAGTGACTTTTTTGTGTTATATGTATAACCGCCCTGGGCGTAGAGATATAGGGCCCCGAACCCTGAGGGGCTCCCTCGCCTCCCAGGGCCCCGAACCCTGAGAGCCTCCCTCATCGACCTTCTCTGTTTATACTTCTCTGCCAACAGGCAACCACTATTCTGTCTTCTAGAAACTCAGGCTCATTTTGGTGGTTCCAGACCTTCCCGTAAATGGAGTCCAGCTTTGCCCTGTGTTCGTTTGTCCCTTTCTCTGATGGGGGTGCCCCACTCAGCAACAAACAGGTATGGAGAACCTTCTGTACGCCAGGAGCTTCTACTGGGGATGCAGTGGTGGGCGGGTGCCGGAGGGCATGGAGCTGGGACGCGGGGTGTGAGGCGAGGTACTAAGTGCACAACTCTCTGGCCGCGCCCCACACCTTGTCACCATTGCGTCTCCATGAGCCACGCCGACACTCAGAGACGTGCCCAGCTCAGCGTCCCCGTGACACAGGACAGTCTGGGGATTCATCTCTTTAACACTTTAAGTATTACATTCAAAAATACCGTTGCATCTGGGCAATGGCGCTTATGGGGAAAACAGATTCAGGGAGGCCAAAACGGCCCAAGTGACGGACGGGACACCTGGCTCATTGACGGGCAGAGTGGGGCTGGAATCTGGGCCCCCGGGCTCTCGGGCGCCTGTGTGCTATACCCAGCCGCCGCCGGAAGGAAATGTGCTGAGCCTGTCTTATCACCGCGGGCGGATGGGATGCAAGGGGACACTAGCCCCACAGACCCTGGAGACATGGGGAGAAAACGTCGGGGGAGGGGGGCGGGCGGATAGGGCCGACGCCTCACCTGTGCCGCAGCTCTTGTATCTCTTATTCTGTCCGTGCAGGACCAGGGCAAACAGCACCAGCAGCAGGACGATGAGGCTGGACAGCGCCATCACCAGGAGGAACCACCACTCCCCGTAGAACGGGGTCTCCACTTGTGCTGAGGGGCACACCAACACAGTCACACGCCTCCCTTGGAGACTCCTGCCACCCGGGTTGTGGGGCTCCCGTGCGGGGTGGGGGCGGGGAGGGAGGAGGTGATGAGCCCTGAGCCACAGGGAGGGCGGGACCATGGGCAGCTGTGGGGTTTGGCTTCCCAGACACAGGCTCGGTCGCAGCGGGTTATGTGGCCGCTGCTCCTTCCTTTGCGGGACCAGACTCGGGGTACCTGGGGGCACCCATGCTGTCCTTTCCCAGAGCTCGCTCTGCCCTCGACCATCCACACTGTCCTTTGCGCCATTTCCCCTGACCTCCGCTGCCCGCGGGTGTTGTTCGGGGTACAGACAGGAAGGAATGGTGTGCCTGGACGCCCAACTCTCTTCCAGTGCCTAGGCTTCCCTCCCAGAGAGCCCCTGGGTCCCCTGACCCTCTCCCCATGGCCGTCACCCACCCCTGCCCGCCACAGCCTTTTCTCAGGGGCTTCCCTTCCTGACTCACCCCAATCCACTCCCTACACTGTCACCAGAGAGATCTTGCTCAGATGGAAACAAACCATCCCTTGCTAAAAGCCTTCGGTGGCCCCACATTAGCCATGGGGCGCAGTCCTAGCCGGAGGGGCACCGCGGTCTGACTCCTGCTCACTCCCGGTGCTAGACCCCAGGCACAGCAGCCCAGAAACTCTCCCACCGGCCTGTTCTGCCCCAGCAGGGCTCCCCAAGGGCCGGGGCCATATTTTATTTGTTTCGTGCCTCCAGCAAAACTGAGCACAACTGGTCTATCTCACCGTATGTTTTCTGAGGAACCTAACAGAAAAGGTTCATTTAGAAGTTGCTGTGAAGAAGGATACCCTTCTTGCTTGTTTACGAAGAAAAGAAAAATGGGAATTATTTCTTGGTGGGTGGCGGATGGCCCTGGGGTCCTGCTCGGTGCCTCCCCCCCCGCCACCCCCCTGCCCCCGCACCTACAAGGAGCTGGTTCAAAGGCATCAGAGGAAACAGGAAGCCCATTACAGGTGAGGCCCAAGGTCCCACTCCCAGTGGCTGAAATCCACAGCAAATACATCTACCTGGGGTTAAACTTCTCACTGGGCAGGTGAAGACTGTGTACACACTGGGGTGAGAAAAGGGATTTATTTTGGATAATGTAAGGGCACAGGGGGTCCTGGGGACTGGCAGCATTTAGAGTCCAAAATATACCAGTGGTTTTCAGGCTGCACGTTCGGGGCCCCCATGTAATGAGCCAACAAATCCCAGCCGACTGCCCGGTAGAAGAGGCCCAGGTGGGCTTGGAAAGGAAAGGCCTTGGTGCCCATGAGATTCTCACCCGGGACAGACCTGTGGACAGGTCCCGAGGCAGAGCAGGCAGGCAGGTGCCGGGCTGCTGGCTGCTCTGAAGGGTGAAGGAAGTGAGCACGGTCATGCCGGCAGCCACAGCGGGTGAAGGGTGTGGCTGGTTTCAGAGAAACGGCGGGCCACGGGCCCTGTGAACTTCAGGGTGAGAGGGCAGTGTTCTCCTGTGGGAACCGGCTGCTGCCATTGGCTGTGTGTGCGTGTGCGCGTGCATACCCATGTGTGCCTGTGCGTGTGTGCATGCATATGCATGTGTGTGCATGTGTTCACGTGTGTGTGTGCATGTGCGTGTGTGCGTGGAACCAGAGACTCTGTGCATCCAGAACCACTTCACATGGACTTTCCACGGATGAACCAAGAGGGGCATCTTGAATTGCGGAACTGGGGTGACGGGTGACCAGAAGTTTCTCATTCTAGTCTCTCTTTCTGGGGGTGTTCCATTTTTCATGAGGGAAATGAAGGAAATGAGAAAACTTTGCTGTGTTAAAGTCTTATTTGTTAAACAAGCCAGGAGAGTGCTGGGTCCCCTCCTGGCAGACCCCCCACGGGCCCTCAGGGCTTGTGGGGCCCGAGTGCGCCCACGGACACAGTCCTTCCTCCAAGTCCGTGGCAAATGGGAGATGAGAGATGTTTTCTCCACACAAGAGCCATCTGTAGCTTAAGCAAACCCATGTGCAGGGGAAGTGAAACATGTCTGGGTGTCTGGCCTCGCCCCTGCCCTGCCTGTAGGGGCTGCCAGCTCCCTTTCTGAATCACCCTCACCTTGCTTCCTGCAGTCCCTCCAGAGTGGGCTCCCTGCTCAGGTTGCCCGGGGCAGGGTGTGGGTCCACTGCGGCACCCCAGGTGTGTGACCACTGTATTGGGTGGGGCCCCCATGGGGGTTGTTCTCCAAGCAACTCCCCCACCGATAATCCCGGGCTGGAGGCGGCCTCCCCTCCCCTCCCTGCCTGCTGTCTGGGACTCTGTCTCTGCTGCTTCCTTCCCCTGTGGGCTCCCTGCTATGCACTCTTCACCACCCAGACCCCCTCCTCCATGAAGCCCTTCCTGATTCTGATGGTTACTCTTTCCGCATCTGTAACGCCTCCTGCCCCATGGCTAGTGATGGTGGCTAGTCTGTCAGGCTCTGGGAAAGAAACCTCGCCTCTCCCACCCAGAGTGGAGTCGGGCCTCATCTCACAGGGTGGCGACCAGCACGGGGCTCATGGCTGGGCAGCCCCCCATCAGACCCAGCCTGTGTCTGGCGCTAAGACACTCCTGCGGGCTGCTGGGGCCAGTTTTGCATTTCAGGCGTCACCCAAGTCTGCACAGTAAGGAACCCGCAGCTCATGGGAGGGGCTCAGGGCGGCCTTCACCCCAGAGGGCACGGCTTAGCCCAAGTAGACTGCTTGGACACTGGCACTGGTCTCTGATTGGGGGACAGTGAGGCAGAAGTGAAGGGCCACTCAAGCAGAGCATGGAAGGGCAGTCAGAGCACTCCACATGTACCATTCCCCCAGCACCGCATTCTCTGGGCCCTCGACGGCGGGACGGCCTGCACGAAGGGCGGTGTAGTCCTCTGCCTTTTCATGACGGCCCCATGTCTCCATCTCCTCTCTCAGAGGAGAGAGCTTCGCCTGGAGACCCCCCTCCTCGGGCAGGGCTCCCTACCTGACACAGCTGTGGAGGGGTTGCTGGGCTCCCCGTAGCCCGCCTGGTTGACAGCCACCACGCGGAACTCGTATGTCACTCCCTGCCTGAGCCTGTCCAGGCTGACGCTGTAGGATGTGGCACCCCGGGGGATATCCTTCACGAACATGTCCCACAGGCCTTCATCTGAGGACACAGCACGGGAGCAGAGGTTAGTGGTTACCTGCCTTTAACGCGGCGCCTGCCCAGCCACAGGTGACAGGAAGGGCCAGCCCCGTCCCGGACGGAGGGACTCTGCCAAGGCCCTGGGGTGAGCATGGCATGTTCCTGAACATTCTCCTCACCCCGTCACGTTCCCACTGGATCCCTGGTCCCATCTCTGCTCTCTGACCTGATGTCACCTCGAGTAGGATCTCTGGTGCGTACAACAGCACCTCGCACTGAGTGCACTGTGTGAAGACGTGTACGGAGGTTTCTTGGTAAAAAGTGGGCTCGGAGCCCAAAATATTCACTCAAAGTACCGAGCTTTCATGAATTATAATTTCTTTTACAGGCACCGGTATGTGATCCTGTAAAGAGAGCAGGAGGCCTGGAGGGGAAGGGCGCATTCGGGTATGCACGCACACGTGTGGACAGCTTTACGGGGAGCTGACGGTTATCTGGCACCCACCTTCTCACACACCTTGCAATGCCAGATGCACTCGAGTGGATTAGCCCAACAGTACACAGGAAGAAAATTGCTGGTGTATAAGTCTGTATTTGCATAGGATTTAGAATTTGCACCGATTAAGCTCTTATAGTCACAGGTTAATGAAGGCATGGATGTGAATGAGACTTTAAAGCACAAATCTCTGTACAGGCAGAAAAATAGCACCATAATCATTTATTCCTCAACAGACACATTTACACTCATTCCTCACTGAGGTGCCCATTACCGCTAATCAGGTCAAAATGGCAGGCCACGGCTTAAAGTCCTCCCCCACCCAATGTATTGAGGTTTGCCCAAGGAGTGGCCGTTGGCCAAGGTTTTTGTTCTGAGTTTGCACGAGAATGACCAGGGAATGATGGGCACAGAGAGTGCCCTGCTCTGTACTCCTGTTCTGCCCCCGTGGCCCTTTCTTTCCCCTCTACCGCCTCCCATTCATTCACGCATTCATTCCACAGACACTCATGTGCTCACTCTTTGCTTGGGCTGTTCCACCCATGGTGAATCAGGTGAGATTCCTGTTCCGATGAACAGTTACTGGTCTCAGGGCAGTGTGTGTGGGGAAATCACAGGGTCATTTCACCCTTTCAGACTCCTCCTGACCTCACTCCCGTACTCCAGTAAGGGTGGCTGCCTCCACCAACTGGCGCTCAGAGCACTCTTTCACCTGTTGGCACCATGGGGCCTCCAGGTCTTCAAGAGTTCAATAAATACCTGTTGATGTGATCCATCTCTCCATCCATCTATCCTTCCTTCTGTCTTTCCATCCATCGACCCATGTACCTTTCCTTTGTTCCTTCCTTCCTTCCATCCACCCACCACCAATCCTCCACCTATCCATCCATCCATCCTTCTGTCCATCCATTTACTTTCCTTCCTTCCACCATCAGTTCTTCCATCTATCCATCCTTCTTTCCTTCCATCCATTCACTTACCCTTCCTTCCTTCCTTCCTTCCTTCCTTCCTTCCTTCCTTCCTTCCTTCCTTCCTTCCTTCTTTCCATCAATCCATCCATCCATCCTTCCTTCCTTCCATCCGCCATCAATTCTTTTATCCATCCATCCATCCATCCATCCACCCATTTTCCTTCCTTCCTTCCCTTTCACCATCAATCCTTCTTTCCATCCATCCTTCCACTCATCTATCCATTCATCTTTATATCTCTATAGCCCTTTGCAGGGCCCAGCACAAGCAGGTTTTCCATAAATAACCACCACCATTTTATTTAGCACTTACTTTGAGCAAGTCGCTATTCAAAAGGCTTTAAATATTGACTGAATAGTGCAGTGTTTTTCTTTCTCTTTTTTGAGAAAGAGAGAGAGAGAGAATGGTGGAGATGGGCAGAGGAAGAGAGAGAAAGAGAATCCCAAGCAGGTATGGAGCCTGACTCAGGGCTTGATCCCGTGACCCTGGGATCATGACCTGAGCCATAACTGACTGAGCCACACGGGCGCCCCTGCAGTGTTTTTCTTCTAAAAGGGGAAGACAATTTTATGCTGTAAAATAGACTGAAGCAAAAAAAATATATAAATTCTTTTAAACTGGCTGTTGCTTGAACCACTGCAGTGTGGGGACTGAGTGTGAAAGCTATTCTCTGACTGCTCTGAGTGGGTCTGAACTCTTCTGGAATGGCTTCTCTCAGTGTCTTTTGCATTAATATTTCTGTAATGCTTTCCTGCTCCTGAAGAAAAAAAAATTATTTCCCCTTCCTCCACCGTCACCTAAAGGCCACATTTTATTTTAAGTGCTCTGTCACAGCCCTAGGAATTGTGTGCATTTTTCATAAAAACATTTTAAAATATTGATATAAAATCTCAATGCAGAGCAATTTATTTAGCTATCCGTTTACACTGAAAAATGCTGGGGGAGGGACAGTCAGACCAAGAGAATTTCCTTCTGAATTACGAGAAGAAAATGTTCACTTTTTAATTTTGCTTAATTCCTCCTTGCCAAAAACTAGTATACTTGGCATTTTAGACTTTGCTTGTAATTCACGGGGCTCTTTATCTGTACTGATCTTTCCGTCGTGATCATGAGCGGGTAAGAAAACTTGGCAGCTGTTAACGCGTCCACTCTGTTTCTCCGCCGTGGATTGTTTTTTCTCATTTGTATTATGCCGTTAAATATCTCAATAAATCAATGATGGAGAAAAGTATCTCTGGCAATTAGGGGGAAAATAACATTACGGAACTATTAGCCATAATGAGGTTTGTGCAACTGATTTTCCATGCATGGGGATAATCCTCGGCATCCGGATTTCCATCTCAATCGACACTTGAGAGCAGTGTGGGCCTTTGCTCATTCTGCGGGAGGTTCTGGGGCTCTGATTCAGCCAGCCCTCAGACTCCAGGTGAGGCTGGCCCCTGCTGGGATGCTCAGCAGACCCCAGCCTAGCTTCCCATCCCCACTTGGGGGCTCCTATGTCGAGATGTCTTCCAAAGCTGCACCCCTGAATGGCGATGCCTGGTGCTACGATCCCTGCTGGTGCCGCGGTGTTGAACTTCCTGGGGGTGTGATCCCGATGTTGAGGGCGTCCTTGGTGGGGGAGTGAGCCCAATCACACTTGTGTGTGGGGCCTGCCCCCATTCCTGGGTGCCTGGGGGGGCACCTCCTTGGACTCTTGCTACTCAAACACCAGCAAGCCCCCCCCCCAGGTAAGTTGGGGGAGACACCGCTAAGAGAGAAACTTTGCAATTATCCCTAAACAGCCCCCAGTGCCCACACACCCCAGGTCCCAGCAGCCTTGGGGGAGGTGATGAGAAGCCATACGGTCTGGCTCCTCCGCGGGCGTGTGTTTCTGGAAAGAATATGAACTCTCTGTCTTAGCCGCCTGCACGGCATTTCTGTGCGCCAAACACGGGGACATGGCTGATAGGAAAGGTCCTTGTGGAAAGAACCCTTTTCTGGTCTGAATGAGTTTTGCTGCCTCATGGCAGGCCTGCCTTTATTTCCCAGAACGGGGCAGTCCCGACCTTTACCCTGCCTGGCAGCGGGAGACACATCTGCTCCCAGACGATGTCCTAATAAACGTGGAAACATGAACACCTCTCTTCTGAATTGAGATGGAGCCCGGCTCAATTTATCCCCCGATCGCCCAGAATGGAGCTGCATGCCACAGGTATTCGGGCAGACGCCAGGCCAACACAAAAGTTTGATTTTATGGACAATTAAACAGGGTCTCCATGCTGAATGAGACTGTCACTCACGGGCCCGAGGTTTCTGTTCCACTAACTCACGCAGCCGACAACGTGACCGTCAGGCTGCAGCTCAGAGCAAACGGACGCCTGTCACCTGTTTATTTCTTAAATGCTGCCATTTCTCTTTGTATCCATGGTCAGTCTCGGTCTGAAACTTGACTGAAGCAGGTGGGGCTCAAACATGAGGCTAAACACCTCTGAAGGGAGGAAAACAAATTCCCTTGTATCTGATCCTGGCAGAAGGCAGGAGACAAACTGGGATCAAGGTCTAGAAGCAAAGGAAGCCTGTGACAGGCTGAGCCCAGGGCGGGGGAGGGGGGGCACCCGGGAGGACGGGCGGTCAGTGGACATGGGTGAGTGCCCGGCCAGGGCGCTGTCGGACCTGTGCCCATAACCCGCCCCACCTTCCCCCTAAATTTGCTGACTTGGGAATTTCCATGGATTTTAAAACCTTTGGAAAAAAAACTGACTTTGTTCTTCGTTCAACTGAAAATTCCATGGCCAGCGGCTGACAGGGAGCAAAATGAGTGGGGAAGGGGTGGGGGACTCCCTGGAGGACTCAACGTGGATGGGGCAGGTCCCAATAGGGGGTGGGGACGAGGAGGGACCAGCTCTCATCTCTGGGTTAAAGACACTGCTTGTGAAAAAGGCAGTACAATGTCTGCTGCACTGGGTAAATCCTAAATATGTATTTCACGGCTGCTTCGGAGAGGAAAATATATTTATAGTTCCTTTACTGCCATTCCAGTCTATTGTGTAAATATGTAAATTAGGTTTCGTGATCCACACAGTAAAAGGCCTTGGGATAATTTGTGTAAATAAATCATCTGCACGTGCCCACTGCATAGATTCCACCGCCTTCCAGGGAACTTTGCAACACAGATCCAGAGGAAAGATGCACACAGCCAGAGACAGCTGTCTTTGGCCTGTCCTTGCTTCGGTGCTCCCTGACCGCCCTTCCCCGGGGTTAGAGGGACTCTGGGTCCTAGCCCAACAGTAAGGTCATGGCTGCGTCTGGTTCCGTCTCCACGTTAGGGTGGAGATTGCAGGGGTGACAGTGGGGGTGCAAAAGGGGGAGGAGCTGCCCGAGCCTGCTGGCCACCTCGAGGCACCAGCCACCCAGCTGACCAGCCGCCTGCCTATGCGGGGGTGAGACAGAGATTTGGCTGGACGGGAAGATGGTGGGCCGGGCAGACAGGCAGGGGCCCCAGGGGCCACCTAGTGCCAAATGGCTCAGGCTTCCCAGGCACCCAGAGGTGAGGGATCCATGTGCTGGGTGGCTCCCGCCCTCCCCCCGCCCCACCCCCCTGCCAAATCAAAAATAAGTCCTCCTCACAAAAACCCAGGCCAGTCCACCAAATCCCCACCCCTTCTGACACCCATGCCCCTGCCTGGAGAAGGCCTTGCCAGAGAGCTTCGGTGGAGAAAATAAGATAGAGCGTTTAATGTGCTGTGTAATGAGGCCTGTAATAGATGGCAGCTGAGATCCAAAGCCCTGAGGCACCAGCAAGGTGTTTAAATATTGACAATCCATAAAAGCATTTCATTTGCTTCTGCGTTGCTGCTGGCCTCAGTCACGGGTGGGAGGAGGCCTTTCCGTGGGAAGATGGCAAAGCCAGGCACCACACCGATGGGGCAGACGGTCTGAAAGGGGGAATTGGTCTCAGGACACGAGTGGAGGCAAAATCTTTCCCACTTGATGAACGAGACAGCGTCGCGCAGGTTGGCTTCCTGTGGCATCTTGGTCCCTGGGTTTGGCTTCCACGAGGCGGCACTGACCCCAAGGGTTCGGGGTCCCATTCATCTCAGGAGGTGCCCGCTCGGCTGAGGCCCTCTGGGCATGGGGCTCAGTGTGAGGCCTGGGCCGGCACCCCAATCAGCTCTTCTTCACACACCCCCTCACGGACTCCCTCAAGCCACACTCCTGGCCAAGCTGATGGCATGAGCATCTGATCACCCGCCATAAAGTAAATGGCTCCCCAGGCAAGTCTAAGGATCAGTACCTTCTCTTTCCTCAGAAAGTGTCGGAACATGCTCACCACTGTCAGGGTTCTGAGCCCACACACCTGAACCCTGTTGTGGTACATTCCCCATGGCTGATGTCTGACGTGAACATGCTTGTCTCGAAGACGTGTGTTGCACCTGACGAACAGGACGCCATCAACGGACACATGTATATATTTTAAAACCTTGAGCTGAACTCCTCATGTTGAGAACTGCAGAGCCACACACAGGTATGGGAAATACTATAGAGAGGTGCCATGCGTCCTGCGTCTGGTGTCCTTAGGTTGACACCCTGAGGAATGACAGCATGCCATTGCGACCGGGAGCTGATGTGGACATGGTCCAGACACAGGAGTATTGCTGAAACCCCAGTGACCCCACCGCAGCCTCTCACATCCATACATCCACTGGGGTTTTTAACACTCTACTGGGGAGCAAGCATCCAGGAAGAAGGACATGACTTGGCAAGGGTCTTCCACATGTGTCGTCTAGGACAAGCCTTATCATTTCCTGGTGCCACGGACCCCTTTGGCAATTTGCCAACTCTGAAGAACCCCTTCTCCAAATGGCTTCAGATGCCAAAAATAAAACTAAAAAGGAAGCCAGCTAGGCTGCTGATGACTATAATTTCCCAGAGGGAACTGGATTTCACAGCAACCTGTGTCCTAGGGAAGCCGACTGTGTGGGTCACTTGTGGTTTTCAATGTACCTGTTGGGCTCCATTGTTCTTTGGAAGATGGGGTGCAGAGGCCTGCGTTTCTCAAGGGCTGTGCTGGAGCACAGGGTCCAGGGAGCTTCTGGATGGTGAGGTCCCCCACCTTGTGAAACACCTGCCCTGGCCGGGATGGGGAGCAGTGTGCAGTTTCTCTCGCTGACTATCCCACAGGTTGAGAAGTTACTTGTGTGGTTTCAGCCCAACTATTGTGGGTTGAATTGTGACCCCTCAAAAGTTGTGTGGTCAAGGCCCGATCCCCAACGTCTCAGAATGTGACCTTATTTGGAAACAGGGTCTTTGCAGATGTAATTAGTCAAGACGAGTTCTTGGGGGTGGGCCCTAACCAGGTATGACTGGCTGGTGTCCTCATACAAAGGGAATTTGGGCACAGGAATTTGCCTGAGGGCACACAAGGAGAAGGTGGAGATGGGGAGACCCTGCTACGACCCCAAGAAGGCCCTGGGTTGATGGAAAACCACCCGAAGCCGGGAGAGAGGATGGAACAGGGGCCCCTCACAGCCGCGCAGGCCCTGACCTAGCCACCCTTGCCCCCAGCCTCCCGCCTGCGGGACGGTACGTGCCCATGGGGTAAGCTGCCGGGTGCGGGGTACGTGGTCACAGCAGCCAGAGTAAACGACACACCTATGTTTATAAGGGAAGAAAATGCTGAAGGTCAGTTAGCGGTCAGTGATATCCATGGAGCTCCGAATTCCTCAGGAGCCCTTGGTGACCTGAGAGCTCACAAAGGAACCTTTGCAGTGGATGCTCTCCCTAGATTTGGGGAGAAAGTGTCGACTTCCTTCTTCAGGGTTTGTGCAGCATCCTCAGCCCTCGGCTGGGCCTAGACTGCACTGGGCCTGTATTAGAGGCTCCCGCCCATCTCTCAAAGTGCTCCAGCATCCAATGTCCTCAGCAGAGAGCTTGCTGTCTGCTCTCAGGGCTGCCTGCTTTCAGAGGGACGGGGTGGGGGAACCCAGTGGCCGTAGGAGGACCATCGCTGATCTGCGACCCTGTTTCCAGAACAGGCCGAATGCCTTGCTCAGCATAAGCTCCAGGACCCCTTGGGCTGGCACGCTGAACAGGTGACTTCGTGAGTCAAAGAACTTTTCATATTGCCTTTCATGGGGCCTGTTTTGGTCTCCTGCACCAGATTTCTACCTAGAAGTTCTAGGAGGTGCTTACAATGAGTAATCTCTGAAAGGCACTTTGCTGTGGGGCAGGGCATCTGATGCAGTGACCGAGGTGACTTTGCTGACCTTCCCTCTTGGTCTGAAAGCTTCTTTAAATATCCGACTAAAATGACACCCCACGTGTGCAGAGGGCTCTGGCGGAGGGCCTTCTGCATGCAGCCCTGGGGCACCCTGTGTGTCCATGCTCAGGTGTTCCCAATTAAACGTGCAACCATGTGAAGGTCACAGTGGACGTGCTCAGCGTCCTCTGCATTTGGTGCTGCCCCCCCACCCCCCAGCTCTGAGGAGTAGTGGCCAACACCACACAGCAGGCACTGTTTCCAATACCATCCATGCTCAGTGATTACAGTGGAATGGGAGGAAGAGAGCAAAAACGCTCTTTGGGCAGATAGGGCGGGAGGGACCTTAGAGCTCATTTTCAGGAGCCTCCAAGATGGGCAGAGGATGTGAACATGAAATTGCATCATGACCAGAAAGGAGCGGGGCTATGTCCATTGGGGCCATCGGGGCAGAGAGGCAGGGCCTGGGGCGAACATGCTAGGATCTTATAATGGAGTTGAAAGTGTCTGTAAGAGTCCCTGCATTTTCACGTATGTGTTTCTGAGGATGACAATGACTATGCTCTGGGGCCCGTGTACTGGGGCCAACCATCGAGAATCTCAGGCACGCGAGGTTATGGCGGGGAGGGAGGGATGCACCTCACCTTTCATTGCGTTGCCCTTGTGGTCTCTGCTTCGTTAGAGAGAGGCCAAGGGCCCTGACACTCACCTCCACTAGGCTGAGCACGCTCCTTGGCAGGTGCCTGGCGCCCCCCCCTTACCTGAGGGCCTGGCCTCGATGACGTAGCCTGTGGTGGGCGTCCTGCCCGAGCTCCCCTCCGTCCACTGCAGGGTCAGTTCAGAGGTGGACTTGGTGACTGAGACATCTCTGGGGGACCCTGGGGAGCCTGGGGGATAAAAGAGACAGGGGAGAGTGGAGATTGGCACTTGGGGGCTCCTCACCCCATGGCGGGGGTGGGGGTGGGGGTTGGTGGTGGCAGCCCTGCCCCGGTTCTGGCTCCTTCCCTAGTCATGTGGCTTAGCCTCGCTCTGTCACAGTCTTCTCATCCTAGATGTGGGGAGGACACCCTGGTCTCACAGGTTGACCGGACATGAGTCCCCAGACATGAGCCCCGTACTGTGCCCGGTGTGGGGCGGGAACCATGTGAACCTAGGTCCTGTCACCCTCACCTTGCTAAGGGTGTCAACAAACGCCAAAACTGTTTAGGTGGGTGGGAAGCCACGTGGCTCCTCTTTGTGATGTGAACACTTTAAAACATTCTTGTGTATCAGGGGCGCCTGGGTGGCTCAGTTGGTTCAGCCTCTGACTTCAATTCAGGTCGGGATCTTCCAGTCTGTGGGTTCGAGCCCCACATTGGACTCTGTGCTGACAGCTTAGAGCCTGGACCCTGCTTCAGATTCCGTGTCTCCCTTCCTCTCTCTCTCCCTCTGCTCCTCTCCCACTCATGCTCTCTCTCTTTCAAAAATAAACTTAAAAAAAAAATAAATGTTTATTGTGTATCTCATTTTGAAAATTCATTTTCCTTGAGTTTTCCGAGAAAACAGCCCCAAGCTTGACATGCTTAACACCTAAAAATTTGCTCATCTGCATTTAACAAGCCTGCCTGTAGACACTGCTGCTAACACAGGTGTTTGGAGACACCCATACTGCGGGAAGATTCCTGAGTTTATGGCCACTCTGGGTTGGCCAGAGCTGCTTGGCAGGCAGTGAGGGGGGACCCTTTGACTGGACAAGGCCCGGGGTGAGTGGCTTGCACTGTATCGGCTGTGGGGCCCACGCGGGCCTCCACTTACCCTCAGCAGGCCCGGCCGTGACGTTTGCTTGCAGCTCGGGCCCGTAGGCGATGGTCCGCGCTTGTACTCGGAAGAAGTAGGTCACTCCTTTGGTGAGATCGCGCACCTTCAGCCAGCGCTGCCAGTTCCCCTTCACGTCCACTGTCACCACCTTGCTCACCCCTGGAACCACCAAGAGCAAAGGCCAGGAGGGGTCGGGGTTAGAGAAGGGGCCGGGTACCACCATGGCAGCAAGGACGGCATCCCCAGCTTGCTAAGGAAGTATTTCTTACAATTAGGAGGGGTTTAAGTGGTGGTAATAGGCAATTTTCAGCACAGATAAGTGTAATTAGAGTTTAAGCCTGATAAGTGGTGCTGACAAACCGAAGAGCCAGCCTTGCAGCGTGGCGCAGGGAGGTGCCCACGTCTCCCACGCCATATCGGGGAGGCCCCCGTGCTCCCGCCCACCTTGGGCCCCCCTCCCCTCCCACCACGCTCCGAGCTGCACCAAGCTCTGTGTCACTTGTGTAGGTGACCTGGAGCTTCCTGACTTCGGAGGAAAGAACAGGGAAGATGACGCAGGAACTTTCATCTCAGCTAAAAGCCGGGCTTCCCCCAGTTGGGGGTCTCCTGTCCAACTGGGTTGGCCAATCAGTGGTCTAAATGCCTCCTGCCACTTGTGAGAACTCTCTCCTGGACCCGGAAGCAAGGATGGAGAAAGGCTGTTGCTGCAAATATCACTGCCTGGACTCAGAGAACTATGGGCAGTGATACATTTTCGCTCATACACATGGAGAGAAAGTATTGGTTGTAATCGGTGTAATTGGGGAAGTGAGATTCAATATTTTGGGAGGAAGATGCACAGTGAGAATCATACAAACGCAGCATTTTCTGGGACAGAGATGGGGCTCTCTGGTTAAATAAGTTTGAAGATGATATATTACAAAAAAGCCTCGTAAGCTCTTGACTCAGGATTTCTGAGAGCTTCCAACATATGGGCGTCTATGGCTCATCCCTCCGAGGGGCAGGGACAGGTGGCCCCTCTGATACTAGTCAGCGGAGCCTGCCGGGAGCACTACCTGGCGCCTGCATCTGTCCTGAGCACGGCCCACGCGCGCGGTGAATGCACTGCCCGCCATGGCCACCGCCGGGCCTGCCCTCAGTGTGAACAGCTGGAGCCATCGGCACCTTCCAACCCCGTGTGGGCCTGACCTCAGAAGAGCCCCGCAAAGTGTGTCCTTACTACAAAATGGGTTCATCTCTCAAAGTCATCAAAGCGAGTGTCTCGTCCTGCAGCTCTCTCTAAAGACCTCCCAGCTGGCTCACCGTGTTCCTCTCCTGTCTTTTATAGAACACTGATTCTGCTAAATGACTCCCTTCCAGATGATTTCAGAGGGGCTCTGTCTGCGTTACAGTGACCTCCAAATGTGAGCTTTTCTGTGGAGAAACAGGGCCATTTGTGCCCAGGGAGCCTGGCCCTCACCCTGTGTGGCTCAAGGAAGGGGGTTGAGGATGCCAGTTTGCACACATGCTGACCATAGTCCACAAACGGATGGGATCCCGCTGGATGTAAGATCCTTCCGGACATCCCCCTGCCCCTTTTTTATTTGTTATTTAAAAGTGCCTTCCTTTTCCCCAGAGCAGAAACAAAGCCTTGTACAGGTTTTGTGAATTTGATCCCACTAGGAGGTAGAGCCAGTCTGGCCTCCCCTGCATCTCGACTATGTCAGAATCTTATTTATTTAGTCCATTTGTAAACCGTGCCCTGCACTTTGCAAAGCCCTGGGGTGCAATCACATAAAATACTACCGTTTAAAACATTTTAAAAAGCATAAAAGTAACTCTGCTGTAAAATCCATTCCCTAAGAACACGGGTCCTACTCCGTGTGGCTTGGCGCCCCCCCGTTGTGACCAGGGCACTGGCCGGGGATGGCATGGGAGGGGCCGGGCCCATCTTCTTGGCGGAGGGATGGCAGGGTCCGGCGGCACCAGGTTCAACCCTCTGAGGAACAGCTGGCCGGGGGTCCACCCACGGTGTCCCCTGCATCGCCCGGGGCCTGGGCGAGGAGGCAGGAGAACCAGCCAGCAGAACGGGTAGCGGATGAGATGACCATTCTAGGGCCTTCCTCCCCTGGCTTTGCCGGAGGGACAAGCCCACCAAGTCTGTGGCTACCTGCACAAGGGCCGCCTTACAGCAGAGCTGGTAGGATTCTCATCCCCAAGGGCTTTTACTACGTCTGCAACAGCACCTCCTGGAGAGGCAGCAATTCCGGGAGGCACTGTGAAGACCTGGAAATTGTTTGAGGACCTGGTTGGCGCCCCCGTGAATCCCTGTTGGAAACTCCGATCCAGTGTGGAGGCGGCAGTGCTGGGTTTGTCCTAGAGGCCCCCACTTGGGAGGCCTGCACGCTGATCACACTGGCCAGCCGCTGCCCTGGGGAGGAGGTCCTATGCTTCTCGGAGAGAGATGGCTCTGGGAACGGAGGTGGGGCAGCGAGGGCCTGATGAGCGGCTGGAGACGCTGGGCACTGTGACCTGAGCCAGGCACAGGCTTTGTGTGTCCCAAAGCTCCCTTCTGCTGAGCCACCCGGAGAGTCTGGTCCTTTTCAGGATCGGACAGTGTGGCCTTACGTTCAACTGAGAGATTGGCTCATCCCCTCGCCAGCCCTGAGTCACAGTGCCCCCAAAGGGCCTGTGGCAGAGAGAGGCCTCCGGTAAGGCTCTCCTGCTCGAGTCCCTGCCTTCTCCTGCCCTGATTCCAGAGTACATCATGCTCACAGCCAAAGCCAGGAGAATCCAAGCAGAAGGAACAGCCCTCCTGACAGACGAGAGAGACGATGGGGTGACAGATGGTCTTATTACTTGTGAAAAAAGGCAAGATGGTTGTGACCAAGCGGCTCTGACTGTTGTCATGAGAGAGGGGAGGAGGAGAGGGAGACGGAGGGGGAGAGGGGGAGGGGGGCAAGCGCCATGGGCGGCTGTGACAGGCTGATGACTGCTTCTCATGCTTCCCTGTGACGTTCGTGGCACGTGTCCTCCCAAAGCACACGTGCTCCAGACATTTCCTCATCTTGAGGCTCTCTAACCAGCCCACCTGGGGCCAAACCCTACGCGTGTCCCCTGTCTCCACCTGCTGGCCCTGGGAAGCCATCTTATGGGCTCTGAGACTGATTTCTCATGAAGTGCAAGTAAAAGAGGCCCTGGCCGCCGTGTGAGGACTCAGAGACGGCGCGCGTCCCTGCTCGGCGCTGGGCATCTGGACGGCGTCCACTAACCATGCGTGTGCAGCTGTAGGGAGGCCATGAGACCACGGCCCCAACAACCCCCCGGGGGGAACCAGATGTGCAGGGTCATCTCCCCGCAGGGTGAGGGAGGCCGTGGGGACAGATGTGTGGCCAGCCAGCAGGACTTGAGGACATCACAAATGCAGAGATTGTGGGACCAAGAAGCAGGGCCCACCGCGGCTCTTGACTAGGCAGAGGCCAGGGCCACGGTCTTGGCTAGATGGCAAATACCTCTTTACAAGAGGAAGAGGCTTGCACGCCGCGGAGTTTCTAGAGAGATTCTACAAGCCCATGAATGCAGAATAATCACTTGAGGAAGTGTAGGAAAATGCACTCTCTTGAGGAGGGGCCCCAAGGTCTCTTGGGACCATGATTTTTGGCCATCCTTCCTCCATTGCGTGGCACTAGTTAAGAGGCGTCCACAGCTTGGGCTCATGGAAGCTGTGAGTGTGTGTGCACGTGAGCATGTGGAGAGTACTGGGCAGCAGAACGGATGGGGTCCAATGGGTCTCTGCCCTTAGTTCACGTGGCGCAAGCAAGCACTGGGATCCCAACCCCAGCCACGCCCAGGCCACCTTCTCCCCACACAAGCACCGGGCTGTGAAAAGGACATAGCAGGCGTGGCCGGTCCCGTGCCCCCCGCCCTTTCACAAAATGCACGCCTATACTGCCTCTGCTGTAATTTACCAAAGCGCGCCGGCTGTCTGGAACTTTCTCCCCTCACGGTTTTCCACCTCTGATATGGGATTGATGGTACCAACATTCTGGCCTGCCGTTTGCTGCAAGCCTTTTTTCTTTCTTAGCACTTCATAAAATAACAATGAATCTTAGAGTCGATAATGGCATTTTAGATTCGATGAAATAAAATCTAGTGCTTAAATTTTCCTCAAATCAACCCCCTGTTTTACTCGAATGTACTTATTTTAAAAGGAAACTTTTATCACAGCTTTAAATGGAGCGCCAATATTATTTGATGTGTTGGTTCTATTTTTTTCCTCCTAGACATTAAATAATCTATAACGTTTACAGTCTGGCTGTGTGCATCTCTGGGGGGAAGCCTGCCTTGGGCTGGTCGCCCTCCTCTGTCCCTGGCGCCGGGCACACAGTGGGCAAGAAGGAATGTCCACAGAGCCCTCTGACAGCAAGGCAGCAGCAGGTTGGGGGGAGAGGCAGACTGGCCAGAAATTAAACAGCACCAGAGACAGACAGGAAGGCAGCAGGGGCGGACCAGGGCTTTGGGATGACATGGCGAGGATGCACTCCTGTCGCTGTCCCCTTCACGTGCCGTGGGCCAGTTTCCCTGGGCTCCTTCCCTCACCCCCATCCCCCACCCCCAGACCCCTGGCTCCAAGCCCCCACCAGGTGCTGCCGCAGCTGCCGCAGGGCTCCCAAGGCCCAAGCCTCTGCATGGGGCCTGAAACCCCTCCTCTCCAGAAGCTTCCACGTCTCCTCTTCTGTCTCCATCTAGTATTGGGCTTTACGCCCTCCTCACGGTGTCTCTTGCCTCCTTTGTGTTTAAACCTTTCCTCTGCCCTTCCCCTGATGGATCCCTGGAAGTTTGGAGTCTGGTCGATCAATCTCCTCACCCCATGGCATTCAGATTGTGGTTTCAGCCAGAAGGACCCTGGTCCGTGTGAGTCACACCTTCTCAGGGCCCTCGTGACATGGCCCGCTGCCAGCCATGGGGCAACATCACGCACGACCTCCTCTGCACTCCTCTTCCAACCTTGGGACCTGCGAGCCCTGACCCCAGTGGCCAGAGCACTGCAGAAAGACCTTCCCCCGGGACTGGGAGCTCAGTGTGCCTGGGTCCCCATCAGATCGTGTTTGTTTGCAAACCTCGCTGGAATACAAGCTCCTGGATGCAGGGAAGGGAGGATCTTGATACACACTTCAGTGAAGACCCCTGCTTTCCTGCAGCTCTGGGTTCCTGCATCTAGAACACTACCTGGCATGCAGCAGGAGCTTAATAGATATGCAAGTGAATGAATGAAGGCAGGGCATTAGCAGAGATGTCTCTGTGGATGCTGGGCAGTCATCGCCTCTCCCAGGGTGTGCCCATGGGGGGGCCTCTGTCCTTTGGTCCTCACAAGTGGTGACCACAGGGATTAGAATCTCAGGAAGGACAGGAGAGAGGGGTGTTCTGTCGCAGGCTTGCATAGAGGCCCTGGTTCCGTCCCAGCTATGGGGCACAGGCTTCCAGTGGGCAAGGCTCCTCACCCCGTAGACTAGAGTTCTGTGCAGCTATGAGGCTGGCCCTCCCCATGAGCCCCTGTGGCCTTACCTTGCACAGGTGCTAAGGGCTCGTAGACCACTCGGTAGCCCTGCAGGATGCCGTTGGCTGCCGCTGGCTCGCCCCAAGAGACATTAAGCGTGGTGGAGGTGATTTCTGAGAATGCCAGAAAGCTGGGGGTCCCAGGGGCTGGAAGAATAGAAGGTAAAGGGGCTTTCTAGATCAGTTCCATATGTGTCTGTGCCTCCACTTACAATAAAAGTGTTTTTAGATGTTATTTTCAACTCTGTAAGAGTCTCAATGCTGTGGGATGAAAATAAGACCTGCTGACCATCTCTGAACTTCTGAGGATCAATCAGAAACTGGGACCCTCCTGAGAAGAGCAGATAAGAAGATGGGGTTTAGACACAGAGGAACCTAAGAGACACAGTGACAAAGGCGTGAAGATAAGTTACAGATGGAAGAGGAGAATGAAATGTAGATAGTCCATTTTCTAGCATCTGCTGGAAGAGTCCGGCAGCTTCTGTCTCGCTCCTCTGGGGAGAGTGCCCACCTCTCCTGGCCTCTCCCGCAGGGCCCCAGCAGGCCCTCCTCTGAAACCGCATGGTGTCTGCCCTCCAGCTGTGGACAGGGAGGCCCAGTGAGCCTCCTGGGCTGCAAGTAGCTGCTGTGGGCATGTAGGGGCTGGCAGGCAGCCGGGGAGCTGACCCTGCTCACCGTTCCCTGCCTGGGCTCCGTGTGGGGGTCGGTGCCCAGAGCTGCGCCCCGAGTCAGTCCTAGGCATCCCCCGTCTGCTCTCCTTCCTGTCTCTGGGGGTCCTTTCATGACCTGCCCGGTCCCCGGTGAGCTGGTGAGGAACAGGTGACCCACCCTGGATTCTAGAAACGGCCCCTGTCTGGCTGCTGGATGAGACCCAGGGGAAACAATCCTTGCATACTGGCCAGTCCTCTTGTGGGAAGGACGCAGGATGTCTGGGAGCCCTGAGCAGGACAGGTCACCTTGACTTTCCCAGCCTCGCACTTCTTGGGTCCCACAAAGTGTGTCCCTCACTCCCTGGGACCAGGGAGAAGCTGATATTCCCTTGGAATTCCTGACCACTTCCTAATGTTCTCAAGGCTGCTGGGGAGCTGGGAGCTATGAAAGGGAGTCACGTGCTGTGTGTGTGCACAAGGGGCCACAGGCTGCGAGGCACGTGGCAGCGGAGTTCTTGGGCCTGGCCAGGGGCAGGTGTCTGAGAGGTGGCTGCAAGCTGTTCTGGTGGTCTTTGCCCCTGAAACCTGGGGACCCCAGAAGTACCCGCTACTCATTCCCCAGGCATCTGGACCCCCGGTGCCGAGGCCCCAGTAAGAAGTTCCCTGAGGAAACCGGAAGGAGGCCTGGGTGCAGATGCAGAGCCCTCCTGCCTTTTGCTAGCCGGGAGGGTCCACTGGGGTGGGCGGGAAATGGTTCTTCATGGCCGTCTCACGGGTACTGGGTGCTGCCATGCAGCAGGCCAGGGCTGGGCGCTGGGGAAGGCAAATGAATGGGACCCAGGCCTTTCTCTCCAGGAAGCCCCAGGCTCACAAGGGGCATGTGTTATAGGTCAGGTGGAGCAGGAGGGCTGTGGGGACAGGGAGGGGGTGGCTCATCCAGCCCGGCTCGGCGCCACCCCAGTGGCCGTGGGAGCAGGCACCCAGTGGAAGCCTGTGGGAAGGAAACACGCTGCTCTCCTACCGGCCTGATGGGTGCGCCCCTGCCTGGGGTCGCTCTGGGGCCCGTCTCCAGCTGCATTGAAGGCCGAGATGCTGACCAGGTAAGGGGTGTGGCTGGTCAAGTTCTTCAGCTTCACCACTGTCTCTGGCAGGAACAGGACCTTCATCTTCTCTGTCTCGTTCTGGCTCTCTGCCTCCCAGTAGTAAACCTGTCACAGAGAGCCAGAGGTTGGAGGCAGGCCGCGGGACCATGGAGCAGGGGTGGCCGCCCCTCTGTTTCTCAGCTGGTGGGGGAGGTGCCTGGTGAGCACAGGGCAGGACTGGAGCTTGGGCCATGCATTTCTCCTGGACTGACTTCCGCCCACCAGGCTTTCGTGTGCTCATGGGCAGACTTGGTGCCTGGGCACAGAGGCTGGAGGAGGTGGCCAGGATCGCTTCCCTGGCCAGCCGGCCACCCAGAGACAGCATGCCTTCCGTGGATCCACCCTGGCTCCAGGGGCTGAAGCCCAGCCAGGCCATCAGGGCGGCTGGTCACTGGGCAGCCAGCTGCAGATCCGGGGACAGCTCTCCTGCCCCCATGCTGGCTCATGGCCACCGGCATTGCTGACTCCCGCCTGCTAGATGGGGGCCAGTCCTGCTCTCAGAACTGAGCAAATCCGATCCTACGCTTGAGCTGGCCTTACTAACTTGGGATCAATACCCAAGTTCAATGTCTTTATTATTAAGGAAATTAGAAAACATATTTTGGACATACATAAATAGCATCTTGCCTCCAAGCTCATAAGACTTCCTGTTACCTCATTAATCACTGTAACAGCTTTGCCATGGAGGAAGGTATTTATTTTCATAAAACATGGACCAAAATCATTTTTAAATGGACATTTAATTGGCCCGATAGTCATCAGGGCAGGCTGGCCCGCAGGAGCTGATGACTGACTGACCTGGGCTCCGATGCACCAGCCAAGAGAGTCATTCAGGAGAAAGAGGGGACGTTTTCAAGGGACAGTCCCGGGCTGCTTTCTGCAGGGTGTTCTGAGCTGATCCTTCTGAGTTCCCTCTGTAAACGTGGCCTTCCGGACGGGTGTGCAAGGAGCTTCCTGCCCCCTGAAGAACCCACTCCGGGTAATTACTCATTGGTCTTATGTCTTTCCTTTACCCCATCTCTGAAATGTTTAGCTTATGCGGAATTTTAGTGTGGTGGTTCTCAAAGTGGGGTCCCCAGGAATCACACACCCTGGGGGAACTTGTTAGATATGCAAATTCTTGGCCTGGCCCTCGGCCTCACGAAATATTCAATAGAGACCCAAGGGCAGAGGTGCAGCCGGCTCTGTCTTATTATCAGCAGAGATACAGGAGGCTCCTAAATCGGGTGCAGGAATAGGAAGGGTGCCTGGCAGGGCCTGAGAGGGAGGTGCTGCTGGGTGCAAGCCGGCTGCACAGTGAACCTGGCCCCGCCCCCAGGCCAAGAGGCAAGGTCAGGCTAGGCCTGCTCCAGTAGCTCTGCATGGACTGTGGCTCTCTGGGCAGGACGGAGTGAGCCAGGGGGCTGGACAGAGTGAGCTGAGAAACAGGAAGGAGTGAGTTGGGGGGGGCTGGTCAGGATGGAGTGAGCCCAGGGGGGCGGGGGTGGAGACAGGACGGAGTGAGCCGAGAGTGGCAGCCCTGGGAGCAGCCAGGGTCCCAGAGAAGCCCCTAGAACTTTGGGGATGGAGGCCGCTTTCCTGGCCTACAAGTGGGCTGGAAGGAGGAGCCAAACCATTGGAGAGAGCATTGCCTTGTAGCCTTGGATGTTCCCGTTCTGGCTCTCGGGCGGTGGCGGCTCCCACGTGACCTCCAGCTGGCTGGCTGTGAGCGGGGTCACCCGGACGTTCTGCGGGGCCATGGCTGGGGCTGGGGAGAGAGCGGCACAGGAGAGCAGCTGAGATGGCTGCTGGTGCGTGCAGGGCCCCAGCGCTCCCTCCCTGGGGCCATGCAGCCTCTACACCGGGGAGTGCTGCACGTGCCCTTCCCAGAATCACGTTCTGAGTCGGCATAAATTAGAATCTGGAGGATTACAAAGAAGATTATATTCATTATAATAATTATATTGAGACGCGGTTGGCAGAGTGTTCAGAAACAAGAGTGTGATCTGGTCATCTGCGTGTCTCGTGGGTGGGAGTGGCGCGTGGGGTGGGGCCGGCAGGCTAGTCTGAGGGCTGGTGTATGTCAATGCATGCTGCATGCAGAGGCCTCTGGGGTCTCAGCACCCACAGGGGACGTGGGGGGCCTGTCGTGGAGGGCGCTGCGGGCTCTGCTGGCCCTATGCGCATTGCTGCTGTGTTCGTGGTGCAATGTGGAGAAAACAAGGCATCTGTGTGCCCGTCCCAAGTTTCGGAATCTTGTGTTGTGGAGCCCAGTTCCCCGGGTCTGGGGTCTGCAGACGCAGGGCTGTCTTCCAGTGGTGACAGGAGCAGCCCGCTCTTGTCCACACCCCCGCCCCCTACCCAGGCTCCTTATGGCTCAAACTCTGAGGACCTGGTCCTCGATTCTGACCCTGCCCTCCCGCCCTGGGGACCACACTGTGCCTGGAGAGGCGGGGAGGACACTGTGGCGGTTGGCCGAGCAGGCAGCCCTGGGGAAGCTGGGATGGCACCCAGAGCACATGTGCACACATACGACATGCGTCTCCGCTCCGTCTCCGGATTCCTCACCAGGCATTTGTACAGGACGCACTGCTCTCTGCCTCCCGGGAGCCATTCCCTTCTCCCGCCCGTGCGCACCCCAACACGGGTGCCAGGCTGGGCCCTGGAGGCCCGGGAACTATCTGGGAGGCCTTGGCCTGCGGGCCCAGGAGCGCCACCTTTCGACTCAAGTACATTTCTGGCCACGCATGGAGACGATGGAACGGCCACTGTCCGAGGGCGACAGCCCAGCACACTGGTTCTCGGGAGAGAACGACCTTCGAGAGTCACCCCTTCCCCTCTCTCCCCCCCAGCATAGAATCAAATAGTAATTAACACCCACTCAGCCTGACACCAACTATTTATTTTGTTCTAACTGTGCGGTTCCCGTGTTGTCGCTGCCCACCCTGCCGTTAATGGAAATGTTAATAACCCGCACCAGGTTGTTGTGACAGATGCTCGGCCTCATTATCAGAAATTCTTATTTACCGCTCCATTAAACAACAGAATCACACAAAAAAACAATTCAATCAAAACTAACTGGAGGAATTTTAACAGCCACATTAATAATCCAAAACATAAATAAAGTTAATGTCTTTTGCATGTTTGCCATCGGCAACTCTATCGCAAAATTACTGTTGTACAATTAAAACGTGAAAGGCAAAATTGAGCATGGCCATTACCCCGGTAGTCGGTTAGAACCGTCTGCGGTGCCCGTGGTCCACCCCTGCCCCCAACCCCATGGTTTTCTTTTCAAACCGCGGGCCCACGGCCATTCTCTGGACACGGGGGTCCACAGAAACAGGTGCGTCCTTGGGCTCGAGGCGGCTCCCGGAATTCAGGGGCCACGTGCCTGTACCAAAGCTGCGGGTCGAGTATGGGGCTCGCTGAGACGCTCCGATGTGCCCGCCGGCCGTCCTGTGGCATGCCACAGGTAACGAGGATGTTTTAGATGATGACACAGCAGAGAAGAGAGAAATGTGTGTAAACACAGAGCAGAGCATGTATCTTTCGAGACTTAGGTTCCCGAAAGCTCCTGGGTCTCCGCTCCGGCAGGACGACCTGACCCCGGAATGTTCTGCTGGTGTCCGGCCCAAAATGTGGTTCTCGTCATCGTGGAGCGATGACGGTGAACACAGATATCAGACCAGGATGCTTTCAGAACATGGTTTGAGAAGCATTTCAGCACAGCGCACTCAGGCATTTGCTGATACCGGACTGCCTGCAACTGCTCCGAAGGGGGTTTGCAAAGGTGCAGGTGCAGAGGAGAAATTCTCTGCACATCTCACGTCAGGGCTGGTGATGCCACCACAGCTATGAGCCAGTCCTTGGTGGCCACAGAGCTACCAGAGGGAGTGAGCTTCTACAGGCACCCTGCACCTGGAGATGTCTGGAATCTTCTGCGATTCTGGCTGCGTAGGAAGGCTCTACAGGTTGGGTGCGGGGGGGCTGCATGCTGGCAGGCAAGCCCCACAGGGTGGGACAGCAGCTTACTCGACCCCTGGCTGGGCTCGCTGCCCCCGGTGTGGCTCAGACATCGGTCCCCAGGGAACAAACAGCCACTGGAACAAAATGGATGTCCCTGGCTCTGTCTTAATTTGCCGGGGAGCAGAGAGTATGACCGCCTAGCTGCTTGCCCCCTAGACCCTGAGTCGACCTGATCACTTATCAGTCCTGAGCGGCAGACCCTCCCATGTCAGCGTTTAAGAGCCTCTGCTCCAAGGCGAGGTAGCTGGTCAGGCACAGTGTGCTCACAGCATGGAAAAGAAAACAGGTCCGTAAAGGTATGTGGGGGATGAGTGCGTGTTTGAAACAGCAAGGGAATATCTTCTGTGCCACAGGCATTAACTCTGCAGACTCACTCACCCATTCAAAACACCCCTTCCTCCCGTGGGAGGGTCATCTGTCCGGCTTGTGGAAGTCTCCCACCTATGGGGACTCACGTGTCTCCCCCTCTGACCCTAGTTTGGTGGATGACAGGGGAGCAGTAGTGATGTGTGGGCAGGGGTGACATAGGCTGCCTCCCAGCAGAAGTTTCCACAAGTTTCCCTGGCAGAGGCCACCTCCTCTTTTCCCATAGCCACCTGAACAGCAGACCCTGCACGGGGACAGACCCCTCAGTCTCTGCCTCAGAAAGAAGATGACAGGAAGTGGGAGAGACAGGGCTGCCTTGGAGGACGGGGAATGCATGCGAGAGAAGTTGCTGCTGGTGTTTCAGCCACAGTCATACTTTGTTGCCACGGCACAACGTGCTGGAATTTTCTGAATGTCAACTGGGCCCTTGGCCTGGTGCTGAGGGGTGGGTGGGTACAGAGGCATAGAAACAGGTGGGACAAGAGAGAGATCACAATGATCACGAAACAGGGTGTGATGTGAGGGCAGGTTCCTAGGGCCACGGGAAGTCACTTCTGGCAGGGGACTTGGGCTCTTCCCTGGAAACAGAGTACCCTAGAGTACCCTTCAACAATGAGGGGGATTTAACATGGGACAGTGGGCCAGGGAAGCAGGGACGACGTAAGAGACAGGAATGGGAAGGGCAAAGGTACAACAGTGACAAGGCAGGGTACCTGTTGGAGTCACGTCGGACAGATGGTCATCCAGATGCCAGTGCTACCTGGGGCCATGCCAGGCATCTATGAGTGCTGACCCATGGGAAGCCATGCTAAATAGTTCTAGGCTGTGCTAGATCATGCTAGATCATGCCAGACCATGCGAGGCTATGTTAGGCCGTGCTGGATCATGCTAGCTAATGCTAGGTTTCTACTTTCACTTTTTGTAACCCAGTGATTCATTACTTGGGTAGAGCAAACTTTTAACAGTTACTTTGAGGATCATTGTTAACATTTTAATATAACGAGGTTAAGTACTTCTCTATATAATCAAAAAAAATTACACATTCTTCAGTTCACTGTAACTACATCAACCCCTTTCTGGCCAAACACTCTTTCTGATTTCCTGTTGGAGGAAATAGAAAACAGAATGCTCTAAAGTAGTTTACCTTCTCAGCCCACTTTGCCAGCACAGCTGTCCCTCTAAGCCAGGACACCCGGAGACAGACTCCAGCTCGGGGTAATTATCTAACCTCTGGGGCCTTTGCCATACATAAAGGAGGCTTAACTGGATCAATTGTTCAGCTCAGTGGGGGCTAAGTCAGAACTGGAGATAGAGCAATGACTCAGCACAGGAAGTGGGGAAGGAGCAGAATCTCAAAATGTGGGCACGGCCCACAAACACAAAGGCTTCACTCACTTCTGGGCAGGGGCACGGTCCCCAGGAGAAAGACGGGAGAATCACTGCCGTCACCAAACCTAAAGTCTGATGCCCAGGGCGCCCTAGGAGGCCGCCGACTAGAGAAACTCAGGGTCTGTCAGCGACTGTTCTGTGCGACATCACCTAGTAAAGTTTTACAAAAGCCTGTAGCAGATGGTCCAAAGGGAGAAGATGATGTTTTATAAATCTGTAATGAACACAGAAGATGTGGCCCGCCCCTTCCTCGACCTCCAGTCCTCTCTAGAAATCTGCAGTGCCTTCTGTAGCGGGTTCTCATATAGTCTGCTGGCTGCTGGCACCCTAGCAGCCCATCAGAGGCGCCCAGGGTGGCGTTGAAGCTTTGTGTCTGGGCTCACCTCACCCTCACAGCCCGAAGCGGTGGGAGGCTTCTCGCTGACATTTGCACAGTGGGCGGGGGGGGGGGGGGGGTGGCGGCTGGGGCCAGAGAGAGGAGGGACTGGCCCCGGAGCCCCACTCACCCCACACTCCAAGCCTGGCAGCCCGGCTCCCAGCACCCTGCCTGGGGGCGGGCAGGGGATTCAGGGTTCTCAGGGTCCTGGTGCGGCCCCTTAGCCCAGCACCATCTCACCCACGCTGGCGCCCCACCCTCCAGCTTGAATGCCCGTCTTTGCTCCAATCAGCTCACTGCTGAGCCAGAACAAACACAACTCTAAGGAAGCTTAACAAGAAAAATCAGGAAACTGGTCACAGAAAACCATTTTCAAAGTAATCAATGCCATGGACTCCAGGCGACAGAGGCTGCAGGCGGGAGACTGAAGGAAAAGCACTCACTGGACAGAGAATTTTGGGACACAATTCAGTCTCCCTGAACCCGTTTCTTTGAAAATAGAAGAAAATACCAGAACCAGCAGGTTTCAGAGACAAAATGAGGTAAGTCTTGAGGGGGCACAGCTCGGCAGCCAGCAAGGAGGAGGCACTCTGTAAGGTGCTTAAATGTAG